TTATTATTCCCATTTTAGAGATGAGAAAACTGAGGCACAGAGAGGTTGAGTAACTTGCTCACAATCATACAGTTAATAAATGGCTGAGATGGGATTCAAACTAAGGAAGTGTCGCTTGGGAATCTATTCTCCTAACCTCAATGCTACGTTAGCTCAATGAGCAAAAGATGCATAGTGAGGGTAATTTTGGCTAAGAATGTAGGGGACATGCCCTGACTGGTTTGGCTCAGTGGGTAGAGCGTTGGCCTTCGGATTGAAAGGTCCCAGGTTCGATTCCAGTCAAGGGCTGTACCTTGGTTGCAGGCACATCCCCAGTAAGGGGTGTGCAGGAGGCAGCTGATCGATGTTTCTGTCTCATCGATGTTTCTGACTATCTCTCTCCCTTCCTCTCTGTAAAAAATCAATAAAATATATATTTAAAAAAAAAGAATGAAGGTGGCATGAGGTAGAAGAGGAATGTGCCTGTTCACAACCAGTCACCCCAGGGCCAGGCTCTGGGACGTCCTCTGGGTTGGTAAGTATCTTTTGAAGGTGCTCCGCATAACTCTGTAGAACTCCCAGACCCAGAGGGCCCCGTCTTTTCTTTGACTGCCTTGCGTTTTCACTTCACCGTGGAGAGGGAGAGGTTTGTTTCTGGGGACTGCATTCAGCTTGGAACAGGATCCTCACCGCCCATCTCAGGAAGTGGGCTCCCTGCCCTCAGGGTGGCTGAGGATCTGCTGGCTCCACCTTCCAGGCGCCTTTCACAACAGCAACCCAGGCCAGGAAAACCAGTGAGGCCACTTTTCTAGGGTGTATTTGGCAGGACCTGAAACTTTCAAGGACTCCTGTGCCCCACCCAGGACAAACAGCGGGCATGACATATGCAAAAATTCAGGAGGGAGAATACATTGACAGGCATATCCATGGAGAGGGTGAGCACTGGGGCCGAGGGAAGGGTGTGGGAGAAAGGGGAGGGTAATGGAATGGGAAAGTATCCTGGGTCTGCTTTTGGTTATGAAAGGCCTTATACCCAAAGAAAAGAAATTTGATTCTTTCCCTCCTGTAGGCAGTGGAGAGCCATCAAAGGTCATGCTGTATTTGTTAGGTTTACAGTTTCACTACTTAAGAAGGTGTTTGTTTTTTTTCTTTAGCTGCAGATGCTTTTCAGCAATTAGGAAACACTGCCATCATGTGGCTTTTGGGAGATACATGCTCCAAAAACTGTAATTTACCTAATTTTCTGATATTGTTTAAGAATGAAACCGAAGAACACATCTGATTTAAATGGCTGAAGTATAGCAATGGTGACCTTAATCCCAATGTACAAAGTATGCTTTTACTAAAAAGTGTTGCACAGCAAAGGAAATCATCAACAAAATGAAAAGACACTTGCTGAATGGAGAACATGGCCCCAGTGATACATCTGATAAGGGGTTAATGTCCAAAAGTTATAAAGAACTCATACAGCTCAGCACCAAGAAAACGAACGATCCAATTAAAAATGAGCAAAGGACCTGATGGACGCTTCTCCAAAGAAGACATACAGATGATCAATAGAGATATGAAAAGATGCTCAATGTCAACAATCATCAGAGAGATGCAAATTAAAACCACAATGCGATATCACCTCACACATGTCAGAATGGCTACCATCAATAAATCAACAAATAACAAGGGTTGGCGAGGATAGGGAGAAAAGGGAACCCTCATGCACTGTTAGTAGGAATGCAGACTGGTGCAGCCACTGTGGGAAACAGTATGAAGTTTTCTCAAAGAATTAAAAATGGAACTGCCTTTTGACCTGGTGATCCCACTTCTAGGAATATATCTTAAGAAACCTGAGACACTAATTTGGAAGTATATATGCACCCTCTATGTTCCTTGCAATATTATTTGCAACAGCCAAGATCTGGAAACAGCCCAAATGCCCATTAGTAGATGAGTGGATTAAAAAAGCTGTGGTACATTTACACAATGGAATACTACTTAGCTGTAAAACAGAAGGAAATCTTACTTTTCGAGCAACAGCATGGATGGACCTAAAGATTATTATGCTGAGTGAAATAAGCCAGTCAGAGAAAGACAAGTAACACATGCTCTCACTTATATGTGGGACTTAATGAACAAAATAAAAACAGAGGCATGGATACAGGGAACAGACGGACAGCTGATGAAAGGTGAAGGAATTAAGCAAAACACACACACACACACACACACCTCACACAGACATAAAGACAGTGTTGTGATAGCCAGAGGAATGGGGGGTGAGTTAGGTGGAGCTGGGCAATGGGGGTGTAAATGATGATGGAAAGAGACTTCGCTTTAGGTAATGGACACACAATGTAGAGTTGTACACTTGAAACTTGTATGGTTTTGTGAACCAATGTCACCCCAATAATTTTTTTTTTAAAGCTGTGGTACATATATTACTAGGCCAATAT